GTTTGTTATTTAGGATTTTCTTCTTTAAAGTGATGGTCTCACATTTGCTCTGACTCAGTACAGCTGCAGAGCCTCCGGGCTTCAAGATTTCATCTCTGCCTATCCATCACGTTTGACGGCCCGGAATGGCCCGGGTTCTGCTCTCTCCTTTTTTACCCCCCAACACCCAGGCCTGCAGGTAACACCCAGCTGACGCCGGGAGAGATGTGATCGGTGAAAGGGCCCACTTCACTCTGGGTAGCGACAGATCCTGCCCTCATGCATGATAGCTCGACTGAAGCGCCTCATGTTGTTTCGGGTCTTCTCTGAATAGCAGAGTAACATTAGGCTGTCACCACCACCGAACCCACAGAGACGCTCAGTGTGCCGGGGTGCCGTCTCAGAAGTAAATAACCATCTCCCCATGGAGTGCCCATCACATTGGCTGGTGATGGCACAGCAGGAACATTTCAGATCTGGAGCTCGTGGGTCAGAGGGTCTCCTGCCCGAGCAGCCCATGGCTGCTCTGGGGAATTACAGCTGTTACAAGAAGTACTTGGGTTTTTAAACTCAGTGCCCCGTTTGCTGGGTTCTCAGCCTTCGACAACTACATTAGTGGCCTATTGAGGCAGCCTGTGTGACCCTGAGCTTTCTGGGAAGAGACAAGAATAATACGGAGAGCTCTGAAATAAGCAGGATAATTCTTGGCATTCATGCAAGCAGACTGACCACATGCTGCCCGCACTGCATAGAGTGAGCGATTTTAGCGAACTGCCCAAACGTTTTACAAGGGACTAAAAGACATGATTTGGAATACTTCTTGCACAGCTACCTACGTATGGAATGCATCCTCTGAAATGCTATTAGAACACGTCCCTTCCTCGGTGCCCACTGGGTGCTGGTTTCTGCTTCTAGCTTTTGCAGACATCATCTTTAAGCTCCTAGTAGCCTGGCTTGGTAGGAGAGGACATTGAAGCTCCCCGAGATTAAGTAACTTTCCTGAGCAGAAAACACTACCACGGCCTTTTGGAAATCTACAGAAGCAAATGAGATTAATGAACCTCACGAAAAATACTTTGGAGGTTACTGAACGTGGTTGGGGTTGGTGACATAGGAATTCCCATGCACAGAACAGCTCAAGAAGCTTGTCTGACAGACTCAGGCACACAGTTTGTGCAAACTCACTAGTGAAAAGAAATCCTATGGAAAGGTTATACTTTCAGTGTTCTTCGAGAAACAGAAGTTGGGCCCTGGACCCTAGCCAAGTTCCAAAAGTATTGCCTTCCTTGGCTCTGTCCTAACATCATAAACCAGAGCAGGCCCTTGGCCTCACCGTGCGAGGTGGGTTTTGGAGGGAGATCTGTAGTGGGACTCAAAGTCGTGTGTCCCACAATGCACATAAGATGCCTGTCCTTGGGATCTCTGGGTGGCTCAGCTGTTTAGCGCCTGCCTTCAGCCCGGGGCGTGATCCTGGAGTCCCGGGATCGAGTCCCACATCAGGCTCCCTGCATGGAGCCTACTTCTTCTCTATGTCTCTGCCCCCCCCCCCCATGAATAAATAAATAAAATCTTAAAAAAAAAAATGCCTGTCCTCACTAGGTCTCCTCCCAGTGTGGGCAAACTCTTTACAAAGTAGGCTCTCCGTGCTTAATTAGGGGTGGAAGATGGGGAGGGAAACTTATTTTACCCAGCTTCTGAGCATCCTCCACTCTTGATGATTTTGTAAACTCTAGAAAACTCTACTAGTATTTTAACTTGGTCATGAAATTCTTTGTCAGTGTTACATAATGACTATATAATAATCTGTGTAGAGTTTTTTTTTTTTTTAAACCATGAGATGCAACGAGAACACCTATTCCACTGGCTTAGATGGAGTACGTACAATAAGTCCTGCAAATTCCTCCTTTAGCATGATTGTCCTGGAGCATGCCCTTCAGGGGCATGGTTTAATGCTCAAAAGAGCAGAAGGTTAAATTTTCCAGATTTTGTGATCTGGTTGAAATTGGCCACGACAGCAATATTTACACCACAGAAATCAGCAAATGCTGTTGCCCCACCCCCAGTACCAGTTGTTACAGATGAGCCAACACACCTGTCTTCCACCCTCCGGCTCCGTGCTGGTGTCAGAAACCCAGGAGAGGGAAAGAGAAGGAGCTTGCCTCTTCTCTGCAAATCTGTGAGGCTGCTGGCCTCACATCCTGCCATGGTAAAGAGTGGTGGAATTTGGCCAAATTAATGACCTCGGGCATTGGCAAGAGGGCCCACCTCTAGGGTGGCCTTGGAGTTTGAAGTCATGTGACTGTTACCCAAGTCCAGAGGGCTCAGAGATCGAGGTGGAAGGGAAGGTCTAGAAGAGACGTGGGAATTCACCAGGACACTCAACTGCTGTTCTGCAGCAAGCTCGTCATGTGCAGGCAGCAGTTGAACTAGGGATTGATTTTAAACTCAGCTCACCCTTTGCCTTGATCTATAGTGCTCAGTCCTCATACAGTTAAGAGCCAGGCGCAGCGCCCCATTTTGGGGAGACCGGGGTGAAGGATGTCTTGTAACCTTGGCAGTGCTCTGTGTACTATGCGATGGCCAGTCATCACGTATGGCTCTCGAGCACCTGAGATGTTCCCAGTAGGACCGAAAAACTGAATTTACAATTGTAATTAATCTGAGTTGTAATTAATCGGAGTTTGTGTCTGGTGGGTACTGTACTGGATAGAGCAGCTCAGGGCTTGTAGGAAGAATATTGGTGGAAGCCGGTGTGCTGGGAGTGTGGTGGGTACATTTGTCACACTGGACTCAGATGCGGGGCTAAGTGTTCCCCAAACCCCAGCATCTTTGACCAGCTAGACCAATCAGTGCTCGTGCCACTGCAGTTATCAACCCATTCAGATGCACCTGGCTATGGGCTAACTGCATTAGAGGGTCACCCCACATCATCCTCTACTTCCATCTATAGGATGAGTGATGATCTCCAACCTACGGGTGAAAACATGGGGCACAGAGGAGTGGAGCCCTTGGCCCAGGTCCTCAGAGTCAGAATTCCCACCCTAAAGATGTCTCAGTAAGTGCAAGAGCACCGTGTAGACTGGCAGCGTTGCAGAGAACTCAGAGGATCCCATGTAAAACAAATCTCTACACTTGTTCTAATAGGATGAGGAGGACACATCTAAATGTGATTCTCCTTTCATGACGTATCCATGTGTGTTCAGCCTTGGCGGGCTTTTAGCTTGGCACCTCCCCTTGTGAGCGTACACATTTAGTATATGCATTTGGCTTTATACCGTTTGGTGGCTTTTTTAATTTTGGGAGGGGGGAGGGAATGCCCCAGCAAGTAATGTTGGTATCTTCCTATCTTGCTGTCTGATTCCAGTCACTACAAGCTGTATCGAAGTCAGGGAATGGGTCCCTATTGGGACCCTGTTAGGCTTGTTCAGTCTTCGGTGGGAATGTGGTCTCCCGATGTTAGACCCACCTGAGCGTGTTGCTTTCGGATGTGTACGTATTCAAGTCTAAATGACTGAAATGGGATGAAAATGGAAATGTAAACCCAAGGCTGAAAGAGGCCTTTTGAAAATATTCTACAATGTTAGGTTATCACTGATCCCCACAGAGATTAGCTTATGATTGGCTGACAGCTAAATACCATCAAATGCAGACTGTACTTTGCATGGCGGGGCAGGTGGGGGGTGGGGGCGTGTGGAGTTCTTGAGAACCAACTCTTCTTACAGATGGGTCACCTGCAGTCAGTTGGAAAAGCCAGAAACCAGGTGCAGAACCTGCACCAGGCACCTTGCCTCTGGAGCCACGGCCTAAGCCTCGCCTACTGCCTTGGGCCATAGAAACCGTTTCCTCCCCCTTGTTTGCGATAGGCAAACACCAAACACAGTATAACCAAAGCACAAAAATCCTCCTGAGGAAACTGTGCATCAGTGATCTGCTGCCCCGGTGATGCATTTCTTGGCTTCCCTTCATGCTGGCTTCTAGCTCACATAACCAGGGGTAGAGGTCCCCAGGGTGGGAACTAAGCACAACTAACTAACTACATGCCTCAGAACCCCCCTCCAGACCACAGGCTGCAGGGAGTCCAGACTGTGCCGAGGGGAAATGGGAAACAGAAAACCTGGCATCAAGATGAAGACCAGAAGCCATGGGCAATGTTTCTCGAGAAGCGTGGCACTAGAGCACTGCTGGCATATTTGTTTCCGTGAAGCACACGGCCGGGTCCTTCTAGCTAGGGTGCTCACGGCTACCATCCTTACTGTTAGGTCCGCTGCCTTTAAATTTGCTGCCGCCAATTTCCAAGTTCAAAAGATGGAAAACAAAGCTCTGCACTCTGTTATCAATGCTGGGTGGTCTTGGCCACCAACTGGGTATGATTCCCTCTCTAGTCCAGCTGCACACAGAAGACAACTCGTAGGGGGAAAGGCACGGTCTCCTAATCACACAGACAGGGCTTGCCTAAGGCTAAGCATTGCTTCTAGGAGCTCCACATCGGGACAGAGAAACATACCCTCTATTGTGTGAGGCCTTGTACAGTCCTGAATATCAATGTTACTCTAATGATTTAATATAACCAAGTCAGCATTTGCTTTGCAGATGCCATTTCAATTCTTTTTTTCTTCTGTCATAGGATTCCTAAGAGGCGAGTGGTTTCTCATTTAGCCCTTTTGGACTGGTGTAGCTGTTATACCTCATCCATATCCTAATAAACCTTTTGTCTTAGGACATCCAAAGTTAAGACCCGTCATTTCATTCATTCAAAACAGAGGTATAGGATTCAAATTCCAGGCCAGGCAGATGAATGCCAAGCACCAAGTACATCTTCACGGCGAGTATACAGTGAAGTCCTAGCCTCAAAAAATAACCCCCCCCCCCCCCGCCCCAGCTTGCGCTGTCCTCGGACTATCACCTGTCCACAGAAATGCTGGCACTGCTCTGGCTACGGGTTTGGGCCCTGGAGGCTACACGGGTCCCTGGGGGGGGGGGGTGAGCCCGCACGGCTTCACGAGAAACGTGGGCATACATACCCTTCCCGATGGGCCTCTCCTTTCTCCAACTCCTGAATGACCCCCAAGAGCACTTTGATGGTTTCCTGGCTGGAACTGATCAGGTCCTCCATCACCTGCAGCTGTGCTTTCAGGTCGACCACCTCCGTGTGAGGCACGATTTGTCGGCATTCTTCGCCCGCCGCGGCGGCCGGGGGGCAAGGCTGGCTCTCCTCCCCCGGCGGGGCTCGAGTCTGCGGGGGCTGCTCACTACATTCGGGGGACAGGCACTGCGTCGGGGGCGAGCAGGCGGCCGCGGGGCCCGGGGCGGCCCGGAGCCCGTCGAGGCGCGCGGCCCTCCTGGGCTCCTGCTCGGCCGCCGGGCAGAGGGGCCGCTCGCCTGGGGCGCCGGGGTTTGACCAGGAGGCCTCGGGGCCCCGGGGCCCGGGGGCAGGCGCGTACACGGCGGCCACCTCCGTCTTAAACAGCGTCCCGTGGGCCGCCGGAGCGGCCTCGTCGGTGTCCGGCGTCGCGCGGCCGGGCCTCGGCTTCCCGGGCAGCGCGGGCTCGGGCCCCGGGGCGTCGGGCAGGGCCCCGTCTGGGCAGCTGGCCTCGGCAGGGCCGCCGCCCGGCTCCGCACAGTTGACCGCGGCCGGCCGCTCCAGCGCGTCCACGGGCTCGTCCGAGTGGGCCACCGGGGCCGCCGCCTTGGGCACCCGGCCGCCACCCCACGGCCGGCCGGCCTCCCCGGGGCCCTCCTCGCGCTTGTCCTTGGCGTCCGGCCCGAACCCGTTGTTTTGACTTTTAAAGGCGTCCGCCGCCGGGATGCCCTTGAGGTTCCCTTTCTTGCGGTCCAGAGGGAAGGTCTGGTAGCACTTTTTGAGGTCCGGCGAGGTCTGCACGCCCGTGCTCTTGGTGACATTGGGGATGGACCTGCGAGCGGGCACGGTCATGTACTTGCGGTAGGCCGCCCTGGAGGACGCGGGCTTGGCCTCCCGCCTGTCGCCCGGCGGCCCCGCCGGGAGCTGCGCGTCCCGCTGCTCATTCTGCGCCTCGCAGATATCCTTAAACCGCACCTGTAGGGCTTTATTCCGTTTTTTAATCTGCCGGTTGGGATCCAGGGCATACTTCATCTCCAGGGCCAGGCAGGCGGCAGGTTCCACTTCACCCTCGGACGTCGTGAGTACGCATTTGCTGGTTTCCTTACTGACCATGATTCCTGCGTTCAGAAACAGCAACACAGACGTCAGGGACACAGAAACACACACGCGAACACACGCGCCGCACCGACTTCCAGCGAACGGGACTACTGCCTGCTTCCTAATTATTTTTTAAACAGGTGAGGCTGGCCTTTATGTTAAGGAAAATCAGACAGGCGGAGAATTGCTGGCAGGCACAGCTTGAAATGCTTCTCAGATATTAAAGCCTGCTTGCTTTTCCATGTGGGATACACTCGTTTCTTTTGATAGTAATGCATGTTTCCCCATTAGACAAACCTGTTTTACTATATTCATCAAGAAGCCCAACGATGCTGCCTCTTTCCGCTTTGCAAATTATCATTTCACATACACGTCCCCACTTCATAGGCAGATGGTTTTCCAAATGCATCTTACTCGGTTTGGGTTTTTACTAGTTTTTGAGGATGACGTGATTAATCTATTATTGGAATCCAAGAGAATTGCTGTTTTCTTATTGGAGATTCGAAGTCCTGATCAGATAAATGTGGAGAGCCCTACACGAGGGACTCAAATGAATCTATTTGTCTTAGCCGCTATGGATGCCATGGGACGACACGGCATCCTGCTCTATGGGGAGACCAGAAAGGATGAGTCTTTGCGCTGTGGCTTGCCTCTAATGGGTTACACTAGCCCTAGAGAAGAACACTGGGTTTCCCTGCGTCTACAAGGACAGCGTTAGCAACTCTTTTCTTTGATTCTGGGGAGAGTGGTATTTGAAAATACTTTTTTTTTTCTTTAAAAGAAATTATTCATTCTAGAATCAAGTTTTGTGTTTTGATCACAACCTCTGAAAATGAAAACAATGGTGGTTGTTTCAGTATTTAAATCCTGAAAGAAAATAAAATCACAAGGCTTTATGTTAATCATGCAAATTCATCTTGGGCTGAATTATTAAATGCATCTAAAAAGGTGCAGGTGGCCGACGATCCCTCTGGGGAATACCAGTGGGGTAAATGCCTTCACTTTATCAGGCAGATTCACAGCTGCTCATCGCACGTGGAAGAATTTTCTTGCGGGCTGAACTTAAAGGAAGAAAATATAGTTATGTTGTTTGTGAGTTTGTGTTTGAGAAGAAAATAGATGGGGGGAACTGGGGTGTGCAGGGGCCTGGCGTTGGAGCACCGTGTGCAGAGAGGCAAGGTCATGGACACGAGCTAGCAGAATGAGAACCGGCCTGGGCCGCACTGCCTGGTCCACCTGTTGACAGGCCCTTTGGTCTGTCATTGGAGAAGCCTGTGAACCCAGGACTGAAACCTCCAGGGTCGCTTCTCTCCAGAAATGACCAGGGAACTTGGTGGGTCGTCACAGCCGCTCTAGAAGTCAGTGAGTGAGTGGGCCACCAGGAGCTCCGCTGATGTATGAAGACTATACCTAACACCTTCCGTGCCGTGCGGCCCATTTGAAGGAGCAAAGTGGGGATCAGAGAGGTTATGTCATTTGTTAATGTCACATAGTAAGTAGGACATACACGCAGGAGCCAGATCCTTATCTCCCAGATGCCTGAGGTCATGCTGTTTATCATGATGTCAAATGTCCAACACAGGCAGGACACCTCCCCCTACTCTTAGTTCTTATTGGGTTAGGATTGCGGGCCAGTGGGCAAGGTGGTCTGGTGAAGGAAAAGAATTGGGGAGAAGCCCAGAGTCCTCATGTGAGACCTTGTTCTAGAACTGCCTCTCCCTGCCGTCTGGAGACTCTGTTAAATTGGCCTCTGCATCACAAACCAGCATGGCCCTGGCACTCTGCAGGTCTCCACTAGACTCACTGAACAAAAAGGCTTAGAGAAAACTTAATTATTTCATCACTTATGCCATGATGATGAACTGGCAGTCATGTTGGAGGACAGCAGAAATCCGCTCTGCAGAATTTGGTGTAAGTCAGAGGGCCAGGGTTTCTCAGCCTTGGCGCTCCGGGCTTTTAGGCTGGGTGACTGTTCTCCTGTGCACGCAGAAATGTCGAGCAGCATCCCAGCTTCTACCCACTAGATGGAAGGAGCAGCCTCTCAGTATGCCAGCTAGAAAGGTCTCCAGACGTTGCCAAAGGGCTCTGGGGGGTGGCAGAGCACAGCCACCCCTGGGTAAGAACCACCACACCAGACCGTTCATCGTGGGTGCTGGAGTGTGTCCCTGAAAGGGACGGGCATGGGAGAGCAGAGTGAATGACCAGGAACAGATGGCAGTGTCCTGACACCCGGGGGCATGGATGATCTAGAAGGTGCCTGTTCTCAAGGGCTCATCTGGAAAAGGCCCAGCTCTGTGCTGAGCCAGGAGGGAGCCACGTCCTCGTGCCACATTCTGCATCTGTGTGTCCTCTGACTAAGGAATTACCCAAAACGGTCCATCTCCTAGGAAGTCTGGAGAAGACCGAGCATAAGCCTTCTTTGGCTTCTGGAGCTTTACTGGGTGCTGAGGATAGCTGGAGGCCTCCCGGCAGTTTTGGAGAGACCTGTAAAGGGAAGGAGTGGAACGGAGCCGTATCGTCTCCTGGCGCTGTGTTGGGAGGACTAGATTCTGGAGAGTGGGGAGGGTAGAGCATGGCTGCTAAAGACAGGTAATATAGATCTTTTACAGACACTTACCCCAATAGGTTAAAGTGGACTTGGTGTGGGGAAGGCACGTGGGTGTGTTGGGGGGGGATAATGAGAAAATTAAATCTCAACCCTCCTATCTCATAATCACTCTTGAACTGCCTCTTTGTTGTCCAGCTCTGTCACACTATATTGTGCCATCATTCTGCAGAAGACCTTCCTACTAGGGAAAATTTGAAAGGGAGAGCATTTTTACAAAAAGCAATTTACTAGTGATTTTTCAGCCTTTTCCCTGCCACTCCTGAAAAATGTGTGTCTGAATAAGTTTGTCCTACCATGTTATTCATCATTGCGATTTGCCAGGAACTGCACTGAAATAATTTTCTTACATCAGTCTGCTGGTTTGGAAAGATATTCTGAATCTTGGACCCAACCATCAACCTAATAAAACAAATCCGAAAAATTAATTGCCAGTGGCAAAATAATAATAATAATAATAAAGCAATTCTAAGCTCTTCTCAGTTTTACAGGGAGTTGCTAAGTATATAAAAATCATTTTCCTATTAGTGAAAATCATGGTGGTACTTGGGGACTTTTTTTTTTCTTTTTTTCCTCAGGGTAGTTTGTTGGTGAATTCGGTTTTAAAGTGGTAGAAATTGAATTGTCCTCATCCCACTGATAAGTAAGACATCAAAGGATTCTTATAGTTGACTTATTTGGACTTCAGATGGAGATCTGTGCACCTTTTGATGCCTGGGTGGCGTTTTCTAAAGCTTCAGAATGCAATTTTCCTGGACGTTAGGAATTACTTTTCATAGGAAATGGTTACCCCTTTCCAGGGCGTTCACTTACTGTTCATGGGGCAGGGGGGATGCGGGCTGGTAGAGATCATTAAGGCAATGTTTTTGTCAGGAAAGGAAATATGGGCGTTCTAACAGAAGACATCCCGCCGGTCAAACCTTGCGGCACACTTCATTCATCCGTCGTGCCTGCGCTCATTCATTCAGCAATTAGTGTGCACGTGTTACGGTGTGATGTCAACGCGCAGTCCGCGTGTACTTCTCTTATCAAATGCCAGCGCGGTCTGCAGGGCACTTGCATCTCCTCCTTGACCCTCAGGGCAGCCTCACAGGGGACACACTATTGCTGTCCTCAAACTACAGATTGAGAAATTGAACCTCTAGATTTTTTTTTTTTTGGTAATATGCTGGGAGTCCTACCCCTTGAGGGCCCCTGCCTGGATCCCTCCAAATCCCAAGGCACCGAACCACTGCCCTGTCCAGGGAAACCTGTAGCCTGAAGGAAGTGCCCTGCAGTGAACCTCAGAAAGCATCCAAAGGCTGGAACTTGTCTGAGCAATTTCCTCGGCCTGTCTGTCACAGGGTCTCCGGGTGCAAGTTGTGCAGAGAAGCTCCAGGTGGGTCCCAGGAGCACACCTGTCCCTGGGCACAGACGTGGTGGGGGCTGCCCGGAGGGCTGGACTCCTCGGGAAGCCACACGGGCATGTTCGGCGCTGGCTCGCCCTGGCCGTGTCACCTCTGAGGACCGTGGGCTCTGGTTCTTGGAGTTAATCTCTTGGCTCCCGAGCAGCGGGAGTTCATCAAGTTTATTTTTCATAAGAAAATGGTGTTTTGGAATTCATCGGACTGTGCCGTCTTGAGGCGAATACGGCGAGTCACGGTTGAGCCCGTCTGGCTCTGGGAGAGCTCGATGTCGAGGAGCTGTTCGGAATGTAAATGTCTTAATTACCCTCAAATTAAAGTGCATAATCAAATGTGAGTTGTAAATATATAAACCTTGTATTTTTAGATTAGTGATGGAGACTCATCTCTGTGTGCTGCTTTAAATTAATAGCTTATATAAAAATGTTCATTCCAGCTTCAAGGAGTGGAAAATGGAAGCAACTAAAAGCCTAACAATAGGTAAACGGTTAAGTAAACGGTGGTGTACGTCCACTCAGTGTGGCCATTAGAATGATAATTATAAAGATTACTTAGTATCCTAGGAAAACACTTATGAAATCATGTTAAGTGAAAGGAAGCCGTCTACCAAATTGTGCTGGAAGAAAATGAACAAACATGGTCATCACCACTGTGGTTTTAAGATAGTGCATTTGGGGAGATCTACTTTCCATTCTGCATTCCGCTTTTTGTTGGGGGAGCTGCATTATCATTGTTTGCCAATTAAAAAAAAACACAGGGCAAAGTGGGTCCACACCTTAGGCAGGATGACAGGACCGGGCAGCTGGAAAGTATAAACACTGGGATCAGAAGAAGAAAAACCCAGAAATGATTAGATTTGGGTATGCACAGTCTCCCAAAGGTCATCTTTTACTGTTTGAGGATGCTCTGAATAAAGAAATAAAATAGCACAGATGCAGATGCGAGCGTGTCTTCGCACGTACACATGTACACGGGTGTGCGCGGGTAGGTTAGGAGAAGGGGTGTTT